CGAACCTACATAATAAATTTGGCAAAGATAAATAGTCTTCTGCTACCAAAACTAGTTGCACGTGAAACACATATAGCAATGTGGATTTGTGATGGAGGAGCACGTAATTGCCCGGTTATATATTACGTCATTTGGCGATTCACTGTACAGAATCGCCGATTCTTCTCTAGAACCAGGTGTACACAGAACCGGTGATTATGTCATCTAGCGATGCACTGTACACAGAACCGGGCGATTATGTCATCTGGCGATTCACTGCACAAAATCACTCAGTTCTAGATTACGAGATGATTCATTGTACACATAACGCGATTCACTGTACAAAATCGCTCAGTTATAGATTATGAGATGATTCATTGTACACATAACCGGGAGAGATGATTCACTGTACACAGAACCGAGCGATTACGTCATCTGGCGATTCACTGTACAGAATTGTCGGTTCTTCTCTAAAAGCAGGTGTACATAGAACCAGGCGATTACGTCATCTGAAGATTCCCTGTATACAGAACCGAGAGATTATGTCATCTAGCGATTCATTGTATAAAATCGCCCGGTTCTAGGGTTATAGGTTACATCATCTGGCGATTCACTGCACAGACCGGGTTATTACGTCATTTGGGGATGGTGATTCACTGTACAAAATCGCCCCGTTCTAGGGTAGGGTTCTAGATTACATCATCTGGCGATTCACTGTACAGATCAGGCGATTATGTCATTTGGGGATGGTGATTCACTGTACAAAATCGCCCCGTTTTAGGGTTTTAGATTACATCATTTGGCGATTCACTGTACAGACCGGGTGATTATGTCATTTGGGGATGGCAATTCACTGTACAAAATCGCCAAGTTCTAGATTACGAGATGATTCACTGTACACATAACTGGGTGATTACATTATCTAGCGATTCACTGTACATAATCGCTCAGTTCTAGATTACGTCATCGAGCGATTCACTATATAGAATTGTCGGTTCTTCTTTAGAGCCAGGTGTACACAGAACCAGGCGATTACATCATCTGGCGATTCACTGTGCACAGTTACGTCATCTGGCGATTCATTGTACACAGTTACGTCATCTGGCAATTAATTGTACAGAATCGCTCGGTTTTAGATTACGCCATTTGGTGATTCACTGTACAGACCGGGTGATTGCGTCATTTAGGGATTCACTATACACAGAACCGGGCAAGTTTGTCATCTGGCGATTCACTGTACAGAATCGCCGGTTCTTCTCTAGAACTGGGAGATTCATTGTACCAGTGGTTTAAAAATCGGATCGGTGCCCCGAATCGGGCACCCCAAAAACCCACCCGGATCGGTGAATCGACGATCCGGATCAGGAATAGGCAGAATCGGTCGGATTAAGCCCTAAAAAAATCCAAAAAAATGATTAAAATTCATTATAAAAAGAAAAAGAAAAAGAAGAGGGAACTAATATTCACCCAACGCGATATCACCGATCCGATCGGTGATTTTTCAAACACTACACTGTATAGAATCGTTCATGGTCAAGGAGACATGATGCGGTACTCGATCCGGATCGGATCGATGATTCTTCAAATACTATATTGGATTTTAATGAATAAAAAAAATATTAATAACAAATAAATAAAAATAAGAGGCAACTGATATTCAAAGATCTGGCCCAATCCGAAAAAGAAAAAGAAGAGGTAAGAGGGAACTGATATTCAAAGATCTGGCCCAATCCGGAAAAGAAAAAGAAGAGGGAACTGCGCCTGATATTCATCAATACCAGATCTTGCGTGCGATATCACTGATACTCGATCCGAATTGGTGCACTACACTGTTCTTGGTGATTTTTCAAACACTACACTGTACAAAATCGCTGAGCGATTCCAGTGATTCCCGGTTGCATTGTGTCATGTTGACGTCATAAAGATCTAGCGCAGTATCACCGATACCCGATCCAGATCGGATCGGTGATTGTTCAAACACTACATTGTACAGAATCATTGACCATGATCATAGAGAGCTGGCGCGGTATCACTGATACTCGAACTGGATCGGATCGGTGATTTTTCAAACACTACACTCTCGGTTTGTTTTATAAAAGAATCGACACGGGATGGCCGATTCCTTGCCGACTCGGCTATTTTTAAAACGACAAAAGAATCGACACAAGATGGCCGATTCGAATGGGGAACCACGCCCGATAACACCGATACCAGATTTTGCGTGGTATCACTGATATCCAATCCGGATCAGATCGACGATATTCACTGATACCTGATATTCACCGATATCAGATATGGCATGCGATATCCACCGATACCCGATCTGGATCGGTGCACTACATTGTTCATGGTGATTTTTCAAACACTACACTATACATAATTGCTGGGCGATTCCAGGGCGGTATCACCGATCTGATTGGTGATTTTTCATACACTACACTGTACAGAATCGTTCATGGTCATAGAGATCTGGCGCGGTACTCGATTCGAATCGGATCGATGATTTTTGAAATACTACACTGGATTTTAATGAATAAAAAAAATATTAATAAAAGAAGAAAAGAAAAAAGAAGAGGGAACTGCGTCTGATATTCACCGATACCAGATCTGGCGTGCAGTATCATCAATACCCGATTCGGATCGGTGCACTACACTGTTCATGGTGATTTTTCAATCACTACATTGTACAAAATCGTTGGGTGATTCTAGTGATTCCCGGTTGCGTCGTGCCATGCTGACATCATAGAGATCTAGCGCGGTATCACAGATACCTGATCTAGATCGAATCGATGATTTTTCAAACACTACACTGTACATAATCGTTGACCATGGTCATAGAGATTTGGCGCGGTATCACCGATACTCGATCCGGATCGGATCGGTAATTTTTCGAACACTACACTCTTGGTTTGTTTTATAAAAAAATCAATACGGAATGGCCGATTCCGTGCCAAGTCGGCTATTTTTAAAACGACAAAAGAATCGACACAAGATGGCCGATTCTAATGGGGAACCGCGCCCCATATCACCGATACCAGATCTGGTGCGGTATCACTGATATCCAATTCGGATCGTCCAATTTCGGATCAGATCAGCGATTTTTCAAACATTACACTGTACAAAATCGCTAGGCGATTCCCGGTTTTACAAAAGAATCGATACAGGATGGCCGATTCTGTGTCGACTCGGAGATTTTTAAAACGACAAACGATTCAACACGGGATGGCCGATTCCCAGTTCAAATTGGTTGATACATGATTCCTGTTTCGAATCGGTCGATTCCGTTCTGACTCGGTGAGGCGATTCCCGATTTTACAAAAGAATCGACACAGGATGACCGATTTTCGTGTCGACTTGGCAATTTTTAAAATGACAAAAGAATTGACACGGGATGGCCGATTCCCAATTCGAATCGGCCAATACATGATTCCCAGTTCGAATCGATTGATTCTCGATTCGAATCATTTTTTTTGAACCAACAAGTTTAGATTTTGATATTTCGAACTCTTTTGTTTGAGTATTGGGAAAACCGACCAAGGCAAGCAAGTTAAGTAGAAGGAGATAGTGTTTGGATTGTGAAATTCCCAATCTAAGACTCAAATAAGCTGGTTTGGAATTTGAGGTCTGACTAATGGAATATTGAAAAAGAGTAATGATCTTATGAGGCCCTCCCACATCCGTGTAGAACCCCAAATGATCATCATTAAATTTGACACAAATCTCTAGAAAAATCCCACACCCATGTGATAACTTTTTAGATATTTGTGCTAAATTTAATGGCAATCCTTTGGGGTCCTGCACACATGAGTATGGGAGGGTCTCATAGGATCATTACTCATTGAAAAATAAAAATATGAGCTTAAATTGCAATATATTGATGAATATATTTAATTCAAAAAAAATAAGATGGATATGAAAATAGATGTCTCTAGATTTTATATTAAAAAAACTTGCCAAACCACTTTGTCAATATACTAGCAATTTTTACCATTTTATAATATTTTATAAAAAAACATATATCAATTTTGAAAAAGAAAATGGTTTGATAAGCTTGCAACTCTATCGAAATAAGTAATTCCTCACTTCATAACTGATTGAAAATTACAAGTAAAGCATTGGAAAACCTTTACATCGATTATCTCCTCTTGAACATTATGGTTGTGTGAAAAAATTAGGATTTCAAGCTCTAAAAATAGCGTATGTTATAACACATTATCTAGACCGTCCATTTTGCTTTAAAAATAAGTGTTTACGGATCCACAAGATCTATACTATTTTTTGAGTTTCAAATGTCGGTATTAGAATTTGATTTTAGAGCTATCATAGAGATTTTGGTAGCCGAAAGTACTTATTGGACGAGGATTTGATGTGAGACTTTATTTTATTTTTGATTTTTTATAAAGCCTAAGCCTTATAGAAAGTTCACACCTTTGGACGGTTAAAAAAAGTTATTTATTTGGTAAGTAAAAAACTGTATTTTTTTATAGGGTAAGCTTTCTATGTTTCCATTGCAGCATAGAAGTTCTATCATCTCCTTTATCGAACCATCCATTCTGAATGGAGGGTTAAGATTGCCCCAATCACAATGTATTGTCTCTACACTATTTTTTTTTAAATTTTTTTTTATATAAACTATTTTGACACCAAATTTTGGACGTCAATTCCTCTATTAGACTCGCACTAGCGTAAAATATAAAAAAATTGTTTTCAATAAAATAAAATGGTCAAAATACCCTTGAAAGTTTCAAAGGGTATTTTGGTTATTATATTTTATCGAATAATTATTTTTAATATTTTTTTATAGATGTCCCCTAATGAGAAGATCATACATACTAAATTTCATATTCATACAATCTGTATAAAAAAAACTAAAAATAAATTCTTTTGAGACATTGGATCTAAGATTAAATGATGAATGGCTCTCTACATCAAAATTGAACGGTTGGATGGTAAGGGGAGGATAGAACAAGCATAGAAACCTTTCCCTTTTTTATATACATATTAAAAAAGTTTATCGAAAAGGCAAATTGGTGAGCTGCAAAGCATATTCTCTACGCCTGCAGGAGCCTTTCTCTCTCCTCATTGTGGAGAGAGAGGAATCTCTCCTGCAACCTATAAAGAAAGAGAAGCGCTCGCCAGTTTAGAATAAATCAATGAATTTAATTATATCGCTGAGAATTTTCAGTTGATCAATAAATTCCATGTCTATTCAGAAAATACATACCCTAAATTCGGGCAACAAGAGGAAGGCTTTCGATTATGTGTTGGAGTTTGAAAGATGAATTGGAGGGGTTTGGTTCTCTGATCTGTAATGTTTTGGGTATTGTTTCAAGGTACGATTTCTCCCGAGCAGATTTTTTTTTTTTTTTTTATTCATTCTTTTTCTTTAATTTTTTATGGATTTTCTCATTTCTCTGATCTTTGTGTATATATCTTCTCAATTGTGAGCATGATATAATTTTTGTTAATGGCTTTTTGCTCTATTTTTGCAAGAACATAAGATTTCGAGTAGTAAAATCGAGGCATTTTATTGATAAAAAATGAAATCCTAATAAAACAGACTTTCATTTTTTTTATCGATAAAATGTCATGATTTTACGATTTGTCTTGAATCATCAAAGGAAAAATCTATCTATTGTCCATTAAATTTGAGTTTTTGCACCCATTACAAGTATTTTTTTTGTTTTCTTTAATTCATTTTATTTGGCTGTTAAAAATAATCAATAGTAAATCCAACAATAAAAAATGCCATTTTCTTGGTGTTAAACATATTGATTGACATTTCGATAGAATTTCAGGGCTATCTGGTTTTTATTTTGCTGAAATAGAGTTTTTTTTCTTATGGGTGCGGTTTGTATAGAGTTTAGGCTCTAAACAATCAAATTAGAGCCTACCATCAAATAGTATGAGGGAAATGCGGTTTCAATATTGAAAATATTTTTGATGGGTGCGGTTTGTATAGAGCCTAGGCTCTAAACCATCAAATTAGAGCCTACCTTCAAATAGTGTCAATAAATATGGTTTCACTGCTGAAAATATTTGTGATAGCATTAAAATATATTCTATTTTTATTTATAAAGTTTAAAGCTTAAAAAATAGTGTATATGAAAACTTGAAAATCTTGAATATTGACGGTCCAAAAATGCATTACAAAATACCCTATTTTCAAAACTTGAAATCTATTTTTTTCATGTCTATGCATTTTGATGCAGAGATGATCAATTTCAGGATATATGGGCACGAAAACAACCTATTGTCTTGAAAGTTTTGAGGTAGGCTCATATTTGATTGTTTGAGCCTCGGCTCTATATAAACTTTTTCCATTTGTGATAGCTGTAAAATATATTTTCATCTTTATTTATAAAGTTTAAAGCTTCAAAAAATAGTGTAGATTGAGCAAATCTATGAAATCTTGAAAATCTTGAAAATTGACGGTCGCTTAACAACATACGCTATTTCCAAACCTTTAAATGCATTTTTTTTTCTCATGTTTATGCATTGTGATGTCGAGATGATCAATTTGAGGATATTTAGACATCAAAACAACCTTTTCTAATGAAATTTTTGAGGTATAATCTAATTTGATCGTTTGGAGCCTCGACTCTATTTAAACTTTCCCCTTTTCTTATTTAAGGTATAAAGGCCATTTTATGAGCAATTCTTCCACTTTCTTAATTTTTTTTATTAATATTGAGTATGTATCAGTTATTTTCTCAAATAAATGTGCATTTTTATGTATTTTGATATTAAAACAATAACTTTTTTGTGTTGCCCTTTGATTTTCCCCTTTATATATTTTCACTGATTTTTTATTTTGTTTTTTCTAGAATTTCTCCTATTTCATAATTCATTTTTTTAGAATTCCTCTCATGTACTTGAAATTCATGTGTAAAGAAATAAATGAGTGTTAGTCTTTGATATCGTAACTGATTTCCAGTTTTCTTCTTCGAAACACAAAAAAAGAAAAGAAAAAAAGAATTGTTTTCTTTGAAGGTTTAAAAATACCATTAACACCTAGATGAAAATTTAACTTCACATTATGGATAGTTGGGTAAAACAACAGTTCATGTATTAGATAAATATGAACGAGTTGATATCTATATAATAATGTCACATATTAATTATGATCATATGTAATATATGAAATTATTAACAACATTTTATCTCTTATTTTAGTTGGATTGTATACTCTGAGACTATTTACTATTGTTATAAGGAGGTTATAATCACTCATAACCATTTAAATGTCAAATTTGATAGTTTGAGTATGTTATGATAACCATTTAAATGTCAAATTTGATAGTTTGAGTGTGCTATGATATTCAATTTTTTTTTTCAAATTCCAGTGAATGACACACTTATAACAACTCAATTTTCTGAAAAATAATGGCATAACGGGCTGTTAGAAACCCATATCTTTTAGAGCATGTTTTATTGGTAAAAGCCGCTACTTCCACCAACTTTGGAAGGCTACTTTCATTAAAAAGCTGCAATTGCCCCTTCAAGCACATTGTGACACTTTTTAAAAGGCCATGAAAGCCAAAATTTCAGAAGCGTTATAACACTTCCATTAAAAACACAAAACGTGCTATTGTAATATCTCATGGGATTTTATACAATGAAATTATTTATCTTCGCTATAAAAAGGTCACAATTACTTATGGGAAAGCTTTCTATGATCTTCCTACAACATAGAAGTTCTATCCTCCCTTTTATCCAACCCTCCATTTTTTAATGGAGGGCTAAGATTGCCCCAATCACAATGTCTTGTCTCTACACTATTTTGTTTTTATTTATTTTTCTATAAACTAATTTGACACCAAATTTTGAACGTCAATTCATCTATTAAACTTGCACTAATGAAAAATATAAAAAAAATATTTCCAATAAAATAAAATGACCAAAAATACCCTTAAAAGTTTCAAAGGCATTTTGGTCATTTTTTTCTCGAAAAATTATTGTTAATATTTTTTATAGGTGCACCCCAATGAGAAGATGTCACGTACCAAATTTCATATTCTGAAAATTTATATTAAAAAAACTAAAAATAAAATACTTTGAGATGTCAGATCTAAGATCAAACGATGAGTGACTCTCTTGATAAAAAATAAACGGCTGGATGGTAGGGAGAGGATAAAACTTCTATGTTGTAGGGGGAACATTGAAAGCTTTCCCATTACTTATATCCATTTGATATGAAATTTGATAGCTTTGATGTGTCATAAAGTTTGAGAAAATTATTTTTGAACTTTGAACTTGGTCATTGCAATAAATACAGCCACCCAATTTCAAATCCAAGGGTCAAGTTTAATTACGATCTCTTTGTACCAAAAGTAAATAATCGCATTGTATACTTTTCTGCATTTAATAGTTGTTTCTAATTATTAAATAGGCCCTTATTATTTATTTATCCTGCAAAGCAATGTTTTTTTTTAGTTTTTTTTTTCATTGCTTTTCTACTATTTGATTGTCTTTAAGGGTGACAATGGGCCAGGCCACCTTTGGCCTAGTTCCCATAAGTCGGCACAGGCCCGGCCCCGTCCTAACCGGGCCACAAGGGTCATGGCCCAAGCCCTATTAGGGCTGGGCCAAAAACAAAAGAAAACAAAGTAAGAACACAACATAAAGAAGGCTAGGCTGGACCGGTCTTGGTCCCCGACTAGCCATACCCTTGAGTTGTGGTGTCCAGCCCTTTGGCCATATTTCGTAGCCTAGGCCGTAGTTTTTTAGGGCTCGGCTGGCTGGGCCGAGTCACCCGGCCCATTGCCACACCTCACTATGTTTGGTTCTCAAATTGGGAAAACTCCTCTCTCTCTCTCTCCCTTAATTTTTAATTTCTAACAACCATTCCCATTTTTCTAGCCAGTATCCACAATCTACAAGAATAAATAATTTAAATTTTCAAAATATTAATAAAATGACAAGGTCTATAGAACCTGCCCACTGCTCAGAAAAACTCCGTGACATTCTCAACTGAATTTCTCCAATATAATAAGGGTGCAGTTTGTATAAAGTCGGGCTCTAAACAATCAAAGCTCACCTTCAAATAGTATTAAAAATGTGATTTCAATACTGAAAATCTTTGTGATAACTTTAAAATATATTTCATATTTAATTATAAAATTTAAAGCTTCAAAAGTAATGTAGATTGAGCGGACCTGTGAAACTTGAAAATCTTAAAAATTGACGGTCCAAAAATATGTTAGAAGATGCACTATTTCTAAAATTTGAAATCTATTTTTTTTTTCCTCGTATCCATGCATCTTGATATCGAGATGATCAGTTTGAGGATATTTGGGCATCAAAAACGCCTTTTCTAGTGAAGTTTTTGAGGTGGAATCTAATTTGATTGTTTAGAGCCTCGACTCTATATAAACTTTGACCTTTCCAATTTTTTTTCCTTGTACAGTTCTTAAAAAAAAGAAAAAAAAAAAAAAGAAAAAGAAAAAAAAAAAAAAGAAAAAAAAAGGTTGATTTGGACTTGGTGACATGTGGGTATCTAAATTACAAGAGGAAGATTTTTTAATTGAGAAGACCATCTGTGACCACCGTGATGAAAAGCTCAAACTTGTTTGTCCCTCTCTCTCGCTCATTTTCGTTGACTCATAGGATATGACATTCTCCAATTTATGTGGAATTCTCTCTCTAAATCCTGCTGTTTACTATAATTAAGATATATTATCGGATTCAAGTACCTTACCTTGACTATGGGTAGCGGGCCGGGTCGGGTTGGGTCGGGCGGCTGGACCATAATTCATTGGAATTGGACTTGGACCCAATAGTATATAATCGGACTTGAATCAAATAATGTTGGGGTCTGTAGACCCAAGTTAACCGATTGGATCCAATTTTTTAACCCATACCTGAACCCAAAACTGGTATTCCCCTTGGGTCCCATATCAGGTCAGGTCTAGTTCCATTGCAATCTCTAACCTTGACGCGTCTAAAAAAGTGACATCCATCTTGCTTGGGGGAAAATATGGTTTAAAATGTTAAAGCCACTTAAATAAATAGTAATTTTGGTGGTTAAATCAATCAGTTTCAAAGTATTATTAACGTTCTTTAATCACTCACGTGGTCAAATCAATCAAATAGAAATGAAATGTTTATTAGCTAGTGTAGCAAATCAATCTTGTACCCCATCAACTATTTTATTATCAATCAGTTTCAAAGTGTTATTAACGTTCTTTTAATCACTCACGTGGCAAATCAATGAAATGGAAATGAAATGCTTATTTGCTAGTGTGTCAAATCAATCTTGTACCCCATCAACTATTTTATTCTAAAAATCTAAAATAAAATAATTTTGGATTTAAAGTGATTAAAAACACTGTCAAAGGGAGGGTTTATGTAAGGTGCTCATGCTAAACAATCAAAGTGAGTTGCGTCTCCTTAGAAGATGAGTTTTTGGTGTAAAAAACGGTTATAATATTTGTCAAAAAAAATAAAAAATTATAGGGGGCCTGAAAATTTGTTTTTACTGTTCACTATGAAATTTAAAGTTTTCCCTTTACGTATAATGTGTTATAAGCACTATTGCAAATAGTTTAGATGATGTGTTAATGAGCACTATTCGCAACGCTTGAAAGCTTTCCTTCTGAGAAATTTAGGTATGCGCAATGTTAACTGCCGTCCCTATGAATTTGGCCATTGTTGTGCTTCTCTTTCTACCTCCTTTTTTCTCTCTAACTACCGGCCTTAAGAACTAGGCCATTGTTGCCTCTCTCTACCTATTTTTTTCTCTCGAAGTGCCCTTCTCAAGAACCAGGAAAGAATAGCCCATATCCGGTATTTGTATTGTCGGATAGGGGGCAATTTAAAGAGCTATCAGGTAATTTAAACATTAGATAACTGCTTTTCGTTTTAACGCAAAAAAACTCACACGTCTGGTGTTGGGTTTACCGGATAGGGGGTAAATTGGGAAAAAAAAAGAAACACCTGACATCCGCTTTTCGTTTAAATGCAAACAACCAACTTGTCCAGTGTTGAGTTTACCGGACAAGAGGGAACTTGGAAAAAAAAAAAAAAAAAACTTGGAAGGGGGATGTGCCACCTGTAAATTGAAAACAATGTGTTCTCATTTTATAATTGACTCTAGTCTGTACGTAATTTTCTCTTTCTTTTTCATAATTATATATCTCGATGTTGATACTATCTGAGGGTTTTTAAGTGCTGCAACAACCTAGTTTAATGGATTTTTAAGATATTCTTCACTTATGATTAACACTTGATATAAACTTTTCCCTGTCAGTAATTTCACATTTTTTGAGTTGCTCAAGCAAATTGATGCGAGTAATCTCCCATAAATATTCATACTTTAAGTAACAAAAATTTTGTTTAGGGTTTAGAACCCAGATATGCCGAAGTGCAACATGTAGAACATCGTGTGGCATTGTCGAGCCAAACGAGAAACCTACATCTGCTAATAGTTTGAAACCCACGGCAAGAAGGGATATTTTGTGGTCATTCAAGCCAATTGTCCTAACCGAGGTTTAAAACCCTTGTTCGACAATGGTCCTAACCGAGGTTTAAAAATCGTCAAATCGGACCAAAACTAACCTGTTTGGATTAGGAATCATTGGGGCCTGTTTGATTTTGCCTAAATATCGAGAGACTGGACAATTTCCCTTGGAATCCGTCCCATTATATTTTTAATATTTTTTTTTTTGTTTTTTTTTTAGCCGGTTCACTAGGTCGGAATTGTAGATTCGAACCAATTTTTTTGAATGGTGATCACTGAACTATATTTTTAAACCTTGGTCCTTATAATTGACATTTTGGGTATTTTCCAACAAAATAATCGAAGTGCTTGAGTTACTTGAATTAAATAATAAAGTTATGCTAAGGTACTCATACATATGAGTATTTACTTAATGTACTCAATATTTTTTGATATTTAATGTATTTATCTTATAATATAGTAATTTTTTTATCTAAGGGTATTTTAGATAATTGATAAGAGGCAAAGTAGAATTTCATGATAGAGAAGAGCATTTATTAATTATAGTGAAGAATGACATGACAACACTCATATGGGTATCAAATATTGAGTAATTATCCTATGAGACTCTCTCACGCCTATGTGTGTAAGATCTCAAAGGAGCACCATTAAATTTGACATAAATCTTTAAAAAAGTTATAACAAACTTGATTTTTTTAGAGATATGTGTCAAATTTAATGATAACCATTTGGGATCTTACACACATAATTGTAAGAGGGTTTCATAGGATCATAACTCTTAAATATTATTAAATTATTACATAAATATCTATCATAGGCCCCCTAATAACAAAAATACCCTACTTACAAAAAAAAAGTGTACATCTAATAAATACTTACATGTATATCTACTCTAACTTAATCTTTTAAATTATAATTCTTATTTTCCTTATGTATTATCTTTTAAAATCTTATCCAATTTATTCGATTAGTGATTGAACATTATCAACAATAAACAAATAATAACAAGAAATAAATACTGACATGGCGTGAGCGTTGTCCTGACTTTAAAGGGATGATGCATATAAGCCCTTTTAGCTTTATTTAAACAATATAGTTTCTGGTGTGCGGCGGTCAAGTGGGGTCAAGCGGGCACGTTGCCAGCCTTTGTTGAACGCGTGAGTGAGAAACGCTTTTGGGTCCCAAATCCGCGTCACCCCCAACGCGTCCAAACTCCGAACCTCTCCATTTTTTCTGGATTTTGGTGACGTCTCCCTCTCTCTTCTACTTTTGCACAAACAATCTTCATTCTCTCACCCTTACAAAGATTACTGGTTCTTCTTCTTCATTTGGTGGGGAAGTCTCTCTCTCTCTTACCAAGGTAAATGTTGAATGTTGATTCTCTCTCCCATTAAAAATTCCTCTTCTTTTTTATCAAATCTCTCTCTCTCATTTTAGGAAGGTAAATGTTGATTATCTTTCACCCATAAATATATAGTACGATTGAATGAAATTTAAGTATTATTCAATTTGAATACTGAAATTCAATCCTATCTATCTTTGTTCAAAGGATCGGTTGAGTTCCCTATGGAAAAAGAAAAAAAGAAAAAGAAAACTTTGGTTTTGTAAATTTGTCCGATTCCCTATGGAAAAAGAAAAAGGGAAAAAGAAAACTTTGGTTTTTGTAAATTTGATGATGGGTGTGTTTCGGCATTTCTCAATTAACTTGGCGACCCATTAGAAACATTTGATTTTCAGTTTCAATTTTCAATCTTTCAAGTTTCACCTACCCAAAAGGAGGAACAAGTCGAAACCCAACTCCCCAACTTTTGTTTTTCTTAAATGAATTTAATATTTATTTTTTACTTTCAATTTTTTAAGACCGACGAATACCCCACCGTCCAAGGTTCTGGCTTCCCCGTTCATTCCCTTTCTGTACCCCTATAAACACAGATTGACAGGCCTTTTTCCTTCTCTATTATTGGAAAGGTTGCCTTTTTTTCTCCTGATTTTACTTCACAAAACTTGGGGTTTCTCTTTTTACCTGATGATTATTGAAGTAAGTGGTTTTTTTTTTTTAATCATTTAATTGTAAATCTTTCATTCTTTTAACAGTTTCATCTGTTCTTACAAAAGATTGCATCTTTGCGGCGGGTTCTGCTTCAGAAATGTTGGGGTCTTCTCTTTTTGCCATATGTCTATTTTAAGTGATCTTTTTATTGACCATTTAATTGTTTTCTTATTTTTGTACGGGATTGGAGTTCAATCTTATCTCCTCTCTCTGGGTTTTCTCTTTCTGCCAAATGTCTATTGAAGTAGATGGTACTTTTCTTGATACTGAACCGTATTTCTCGTATATTTGTAACAGGTTTGAGGTCAATCCCCTCTTCTGTTTGTGATATGGGGGTGCATAAAACACCCCAAAACAACTAAAACAATCGCTGGTATGAGAAATTTGACATCTGTGTGTAATGGGGTCCTTCACTGGGCTCCTTCAAAGGCCTTCAACCGCAGTTGCTGTAGCATCAATCGCAGCTTTATCTGCAGAGTTCCCTGATCGTTTGCCCTCAACAAATTCCCATATTTCCCAAGGATTGGCCCCAAGTTCCTCTTTATCAAGCCATTCTCCTAGTCCCAATTATGGATTGAAGTCATGGGCATCCCAGGTCTTGGCTTCGAGCTCCTTGGATTCATCTTTTTGGTCCAGGGTTCGAATCATGGCCCCAAAAGCTGACTCACCGATTGTTTATTCTTTGATTGTTTCGAAGTTCTTGTTTGGGTCCAAGGATTACTGGCTCTCCTCAACCTCCTCTCACGTTCTTCGTGTGGTATATAGGTCAGCGAACCTTAGCCTTGGTCAGTTGCCGAAATCGATTAATTCAGAGGAAATTATAAATGACTATTCAGGGGAACTATTTAGATGGCACTCCCCAAAGATGGGTTTGGGTCATGGTGGGGATTTGGACTGTTTGCCTGCAAAATCCGGCACTGTGGTGGTTTTGCTTGGGTGGTTGGGTGCAAAACAAAAGCATCTCAAGAGGTATGCGGATTGGTACACGGCTAGAGGTTTTCATGCTGTTACATTTACCTTCCCAATGAGCGATATCGTCAGTTATAAGGTGGGTGGGAAGGCTGAGCAGCAGTTGGAGTTGTTTGCTAACCATCTGGGTGCATGGGTTGGAGGCGACTGCGAGAGGAAGCTGGTATTTCATACATTCAGCAACACGGGATGGTTGACGTGAGTGTCTCTCTCTTTTTCTATTCCGCACGGGTGCATACTTGTTAACACACAGAGTGGTGATCGTCATGTTCTCTTTTTCTTTGCATGTAAATGCTGTCTTCATTGTGAGATTAAACCTTGTTATTGTTTGTTTGAGTAGTTATATGGTTTTGATCTTGTCATGAGAATTTAGTGTGTGTTCCAATCATCAACCAAATATGTCAACAGTTGTGAACTGTTTCTTCTCAATTCTCCTTGGATTTTGTTTCTTCCTGTAATGTATTTGCCTTAACTGTGTCTTGAGTGGTTATGGGTAATTTCTCTAGTCAGTTTGTTCTGTATTACATTTTGGGATATAATTATGGAATTTATGGGTCTTGGAATTTGGGGTTTAGTATAATGCAATGCAATGCTACTGTAGCAGTCAAACATTATAAATCTTTGCTTCAAACCCCTGGTTATTAGCTTCAACTTCTTGACAACTCCAATGGGATGTGATGTTTCTGACACCATTACTACCATTACTTATAGAACAAACTTGGCCTCCAAATGAACTGGTAAATAAGGCTCATGCACGATGCTAGCTTATCATAAGTTGTAGCTGTTCAAGTAAAAAAACCCAGTTTGGGCCACTTCTAGGTAGGGTCACACAAAGGAAGAAATTACTAACAGGTAATTTCTTGAGCACTTCTCTTACATTTTCCTCAATGTATTCCCCCTGTTGGACTTCCATTTTTTCGTCACCATTTATTCCAGAAATCACTCCTTCAGGCTAAATGACCTCTTCTTCTGAACAATTGGACATTTGGAGAAGGCTCATCCACATCAATTTTATCCATGCATGTTGAAGAGCCTGAAGGACTTATCATAGACCGTTGTACTGCAATGTGAGCCTTATGGTTAGACTAGGTTGAAGTGCCCCTCCATGCGCTGCTTGCCAGGCTTTCATTAGCTCCTGTCTCTTGGGAGATGACATTATACGCATGATATGAAGGCACGCATATCCTCAAGGGAGCTGTTACCCCCAAGAACTATTAATGCTCCTGTACGGCTCCTTGAACTGCTGTACTAGAGGACACAAATTGCTTGACTTTGGCATTCCATGGATCTTGCATTGCCACTGCTATTGGGGCCGTCAAAGCCATCCATTTGAATTGAACTTGTCAGGACCGACTAGAAATGTTTACCAAGGATGTACTTCGGCTATTGACTGTTCTTGCACTGTGGAACCTGGTTTCTCTTGACTTTCAACAACTTATGATCTTTAATGATTGTTCGGAGTTGCAGTAAATTTGTGTATTTGCTTTGCATTGATTATCTATCTCAGCACCATTGTTCAAATCCACAAAGCCTGAAAATTTCAGAACTTGGCCCTGGTCCATTGTAAAGGGAATGCTTATGGGCACTTTCTGTTTTGGGTGCTTTAAATTGTTTTATCTTTAGTTTCATCTTAATCCATGCTTGTTTCCTTTCTTGGAAGTCAGCTAAATTTTGTGCCTTTGTGGCTATTTTCTTTCCAGTGTTAGAACAACTTGCACAACCTGCTCAATGCAACAATGTCCTATCTCTGACTAACAGATTGCAATTAAGGGTAACCAAGATTCACAACTACAAATATTGATATCTAGAGCAATGGAAAATTTTAACCACGTAATCAAAAAAAAAAACAAAAACCATTTTATACTACGCTTTGATTGCCATAGTGCACCCAAAATTCCCCTGTTAGTGGGTACCCCACCTGTTGTATTAATGGGGTAAACAAGTACAAGGGGTAATTACAAAGAAGGAAATGCAAAGAGCTCTCAAGAACTTTCTACGTACAAAATTACAAATATGTGGTAGACTACTGCCTTCTCTTGTGCATAATATTTTCACTTTTGTTCTGGTATGAATGGATCTGGGATGCGATTTCTAATTTTCCAAGTTGTCTCCTATATCATGGCTTAATGTATTGATTGCAGCTTTTTTAAATGTTTTTTAGGCCTTCTATTTCCCTCATATTAGTCTGTTTCTCCTCATTATGCGCAAGGTGATTACTTTGATCATTGAATCTTCACTACAACAAAATCATGCATTGTCAATCTGCTTAAGACCTCATGTTGGGTGGAGAATTTGCCCCTCTTGCATGAGGAATGTGTTTAATCCAGTTACCTCATTCTGATATAATAAATATTTGTTAGCTCTAGTTGTTCTCTAGCATACCATGTGCATGTTTCATCATATTTTCATAAGAAAGTATGTATGTCTCATCATTGGATATTCCTTTGGATAGTTTTATGGCCCATATGTTCTGGCAAGAAATGTGGGGCGTGGAAATACATGCTTGGGAATGTGGCTGTCAGTAAATTTCTTACAGCCATGTAGTTAGGTTATGTACTCTTTTTATCATGGGAATTAGTCTTTTGGTCCCTCTGGTTATAGTTTCAATATCCAACTTGTGATTTCATCTTAATTAGTTTGATGGTTGATGCCCTCTCTTAATTATGGTCATGAAATAATGCAAATACCATACTGGCTTAGTCTCAACTTTTGGCAGACTTGATACCTCTTTTTTTCTTCTGTCTCTTAGTCTCAACTCCTTCGAATAATGTAAATACCATACTGGCTTGTTTTGCTTGCATTTTTTTACCGGTGTCTCTTTATATTAATTTATCTTTGTAACGTGTTTTCCTTATGCATGTCTTTGTTGTCATTATAACTTGTCATAAAATTTGTCTGATTCTTGCCCTTGATATTTTCTTCGTTCAGGTATGGAGTTATTCTTGAGAAGTTTCATAACGAGGACTCATCCATGATTTCGAGGATTAAAGGTTGCATAGTGGATTCAGCACCTGTTGCTGCACCTGATCCGCAGGTATGATTACTCTCTCTCAGTTTCATGTCATATTAGCGAAACAGGAAGTAAATTATGGTTACTGAGAAAATCTTCTCTTTTGGAAGGTGTGGGCCTCTGGTTTCTCTGCTGCTTTTCTGAAGAAGCAGAGCATTGCAACAAAGGGATCCTTGGTCAAGAAGGAGCCAGGCATGGAGATGGCACTCGATGCCAAATTTAGCGGCAACTCCGAAGAGCCCAAAGCTGCTGTTGCAGAAGCCATTCTGCTTGCAGTTTTGGAGAAATTTTTCGAGGTCGTTCTGAATATTCCTACAGTGAACAGGTTTGAAATCTTTCTATCCAAGTGTTTCATAGTTAATTATAGCGAGTTTAGCACTTTCCGTTGGTGGTAAAGACATGCCAAACTTTAAGTTCTCTTCTGCACGTTCATACCTGCTCTCCTCTTCTCTCTCTCTCTATATATATATGTACATGACACAAATTACTCCAATATGATGTTACTCATTTACTTCTTGCCTTGAACAGGAGGCTCCTGGATGTGGTGGGTTTGCTGTCATCAAAGCAGCCAAAATGCCCGCAGTTGTATATTTACAGTTCGGCTGATAGGGTAATTCCTGCCAAATCAGTGGAGTCCTTTATAGAGGAACAGAGGAGGGCAGGTCATGAAGTGAGGGCCTGTGATTTCATGTTTACTCCTCATGTCGACCATTTTCGCAATGACCCCAAGCTCTATACTTCTCAGCTTACCAGTTTTCTTGAGGAATGTGTTCTGGACTGCAAACGGGATTCATGAGTTTGGGCCTTCAATGGTTTCTAATGAATTGTTGGTCCTTTTCTTTCATGGGTTTATTTTCTGCAACTGGGAGGAAAATCCGATTTCTCGAATTTTACTGTGATTGTTTCATGGTCCATGCCATTGCTTGGTATCCACTAAATTGTCTTAATAGTTTTCGCCTTTGTTTACATGTAAGTCAAACAATATGCATTTATAAATTGATGAATTATCATTCTTTGGGGGAACTGGTGAGGTTTCATTGAGCTGATTGAGATTCTCTCCTCCCCCTCTCTCTCTCT